GCTCTCCCATAACGAAGCAACAGGCATCGAAGAGTGCTCTCCCATGACGAAGCAACAGGCATCGAAGAGTGCTCTCCCATGGCGAAGCAACAGGCATCGAAGAGTGCTCTCCCATGACGAAGCAACAGGCATCGAAGAGTGCTCTCCCATGACGAAGCAACAGGCATCAAAGAGTGCTCTCCCATGACGAGGCGCATGTAAGTTCATTCATGCATCGCACGTAGTGGACGTGGCGTTAGGCCGCACTCACCGAGCCCCGTTCTCCTCCCCCCCCCCCTTAAGAAAACCCTTGCTGCGTCCTTTTTCAAATGTCGTTTACTCTTCACGTTCGGAGCACTAAGTTCATGAACGATGTACTCGCTTTCGCTTGCATTGGTTCGCTGTGTCATATAACAGAGCAAACCTCGCGTGGTGACACGAGCTCTCGTTCACGCCCATTTGTGAGCGTGGTGTCTAAGGCTAAGAAGCCTCTCTGTCAGGTGAGGAGGGCTGAGCTACAACTTGGAGAGCACTCTTTGATGCGTGCTTCATTTCCCCGCTTTCACAGGATCCCACTGTACTCACCACTGCAATATTTGCTTTTTCACGCCATGGTGCGATCATGATCCATCTTTTTTTCGCGCACCGCAACGCTTAGATTGCGGCCCGATAAAAGATGTCGGCTCGTTTTTTGTCATTCAATGATTCGACAAAAGTGACGTGACCTGACAATATTATGAAGTTCAATACAGCGTAGCCTCTTACGTAAGTTGTTCAGTGCATTAGCGAGGAACATTATTCACAAAGATGATTCACATAGATTTGACATAAAATTCACGTAGAGCATTATTCACATAGACACTAGCATTGGCCTTATTCCTCGGAAAAAAACCAGGAGAATGGAGATATAGTTTGACTGATATTTCGGCAACATGCCTTTATCGAAACAAAAGCAGAAGTGAATTCTTTAGAAGTGAATCCACTTCTGCTTTAATTTCGATAATGGCATATTGCTGAAGTATCAACCAAACGGTATCTTCATTCTCCTGTTTTTTCCGAGGAATAAGGCTAATATTACAGCCATAGAGTATTTCGTTTTGTGTGTATGAAACACTTATCACCAAACGAGCCCACAACAGTTTGCATCACTTTATTATGCAATCCGTGAACCGCAAGTAATTTTTTTGTTTCGTTGCCCTTGACCGAGACAAATTAAGCAATTAGAAGTCCAGGGCACTTTTTGTGTCACTGTTGTGACGGTTGTTTGCAATACACACTGGCGCCCTTACAGCACATACTGGCCTGATCGGCAAGCTTTGTATCGTATTTGTTTGCATTGCATGTTTGGAAAAAAAATATCGTGTGAATTTCGGCATCGCAGTTCTTTGAACATAAACTACTTTTGCGTAAATCCTCGTGCGCAAATCGCCTCACGTAAATAGGACAGGCCGCATGATTTTATTCACGTGATAACTCGTATCGCACTTCTTTGCACGTTTATTCACATTGCATTTTTGTATGCAGTTATTCGTGCAAGCCTTTTTCGCATATTTTGTTCGTCGAGGCCTTTCAAGCTGGATACATTGATGTTCGGGTACGGAAGTTTTGTCACGTTTTTTTTATCCACTTCCGATGCATCAGAATTATCTGGCCGCTCAACAGGCTAGCGACATTCGACAGCCAGAAGTGCAAATGCAGCTAATTTTGTCTGGAAGGGGCGGAAGCAGTAATGCTCTGCAGTATTTCGTGAGGTATATAACCGACATTTTAAGACCGCTTTCCCCATACCCGTACCCTTACCCGTAATGCTCCCAAGATATATGCCCAACTCAACCCGTTGCCCAGTTCGCACGGATACCCATAGGCTTACACCATTCGTGGAGCCCGCCAGGTGGCGCGGCCGCCTCCGGGGCTGATGCTGCTCATCATGGCTGTAAATCACAGAGCGTTTCGTGAGCGCCAGAAGCGCAGATGGCAATGACTCGCGCAGCGGATGCGACGCGGCACGCTGGTAACTATGCTGTCAACTTTGCGTGCTGCTATGTCGTGTTTGCTCGACGTTTCCTGCTTCAGATAAACTCTTAATGCATGAAAATGAACCACAGTTGTCGTGCTAGTGAATGTTTAATGGCGTTGTTGACCAACACGGCTTTAGCAAGACTCGTATCTTGTAATTGTTGTGATGCAAGTCAGGCTCGGCTTCTGCTTCATGTCGCAATATATAAAACACGAAATAAGCAGACGCTGGCGCAATGCCGGCCATGCGGAAATGTTCGACCAACCGTGGCGCGCGACGCTAGCGCCATCTTGTCTGCAGCGTTCCGTGTTTATCGACTTGCAAGCAATATTGCGGCTACTAATCATGACAACACGCTGCGGTTCACGTGGAAAGGAAGTCAAGGAGTTTACCTTTCATCTTCAATGATATCTACTTGTCTCACAAATTCCACATGACGTCGAGGATCCGAAACACGTGAATTTCTAAGATAAAAAATATCGGGGGAGTGACGCGCAAATTTCATATATAGTTAAGTTTTGGTGGATATACTTGGATCCAGCGCATCGGAATGCAAGAATTGTGTTTACCTCCCATGCATTTTCAGAAAAAGACAAATGTAAAAGAGGTAACCCTGATGTGCACCAGCGCAACGTGTAAGTCCTGTGGCCGGATGTTTGTTGCGCGCTGTGGATTGTTGGACGTGACATGATTTTTCGGTGCCATCACCTTGATGATTTGCCACCCTGCAATTGCGCAAAAGGAAATCCAGCAACTTAGTTAAGGTTTTCACGTGAAGTTATGTACAAGCCAAGCCATAATACTCTTTTTACTTTATTCCTTGTAGCACAATTTGCATACAAAGCACGGGCTTTGCTCATGCGTGCATTTTCGGAACCGAAACGCAATAAATGGCGCACACAGAGGTGTCACTCTATATTCTTTCGAGAGAATCTGAGTCTCCTTCTTCCATGCTGAGTCGAGCCCCTTCCCATTCTCTTTTGAGCACTCCCAATGAATTTGAGCAAAAAAGGAATACTGAGCCAAGGAAATGGGGACCAATCATGTACTGATTGCATTTAGTGCTTAGACGCATCACTATTAGCATTGTGTTCATTTAATATGTCTTAGATTACTAATGGATTTGTATGCCATCTCTTTCATGTATTAGACCGGTCTGTAAATGTCTGACAAGTTTTCGCATGGTTACACCGGGACTGGGATAAAGAACAATTGACTGCAATGTGCGGCAGCTTTTAAAAGTACAGGATGGCAAACATTAAGCCATATTTCCCTCGTCAGTGGAAGGTAAAGGTAAGGGGGCGGGGGTAGGAAGAATTGAATCAGTTTGTACTCGGAGCACTCTTCTGCTATAGCTACCGAGAATAGGGCTACGATTTTTATATCTGCAACAAGCTGTATCCTTAAGCTTTTTTTGTAGTGGTGAAGTTTTGAAAAACATGCATTCGTTCTTTGGTAAATGACTTCTGGATGAACGGCTTTCAGCTGAATTGACCTGCCCCACCGGGGGGTAAATTGTAGCACTCAATGGAAGCAGTTGTGCTTAACTGTTTTTTAATAGTGAGAGTTACATCGTGAACAAGCTGGATGCGTTGCCATATGTAGACCAAAAGCGCTTGTCTGTGCTATTTCGCATGGCGTCGTAGTTGCGAAATGACAACTATCTGCCTTCTGATCAGCCAGTGATTGTTTTATCCCCACTTCCACCTGACTTTCGGTTGATTAGGTG